AATTAAACTTATGTAGGATTCGAACCTACATCTCATGATTACACAGTGCTTGACCAATTGACCTAATAGACTTTCAATATGCCAAAAACTTCGCCCCTTATCTCTAAATTCTCCGAGGTCGTGAGATGTTCCAATCCTCCAGGCACAACACGCCGCAAAGTATAACGATTGAGAATTTGCAATGATTTTAGGGAAAATGAACATAGACAACATTTCCTGCTTCTCCTAGGCTCCCAAGTTTCTTGTCACCCCATATCTCTATAGGGCAGGCTTTCAAGAAACTGAAAAGCCTCTATCGGAACCGAACTTAGCAAGCCTCTATGTCAGTCTAATTATTGCATCCAAATTATACATAAGTTATGTGGGCTCATATTAAACATTCAACCAAATTAAGGAGAATAAAACATCAAACTGTACAAAAGCTTGATTCATACGAGTACTTGGTTCATACGAAATCGATGCAATAGTCCGATCAAACATTACACTCAAAATTTATACCAAAATATTGTAAAAATTCAGAAGTCAAAAATCAAAAACCTCAAAACTCATAGAATATTTATTATCTTGCGTTCATACGAAATTGATGCAATAATCAACTCAAACATTACACTCAAAATTTACACAAAAAAAATAGTAAAAATTAGACTCATAAATCAAATAATCACAAATTTACACTGAGAAATATAGTTATTATTAATTTCGACTAAATCACTCTATGAACTACTAAAAATCAATTAAATAACTAGAGCAATTAATGTAAATAATCAATTAACTAAAATTGATCCATTGCGACAAACTTAAGATTAAAGGAATTATATAAAAATGCAAATTAAACTAGCCAAAATCGAAAAAAAATATACAAAAAAGGCAGTAAACTTACACAATAATCACAACTTCACAAGAATATGAATGCAAAATGCGGTTTGAATCAACGGCAAAAAAAATACAAATAAGAATCTCATATGCGAAGAACCTTAATATAGGAAGAATTAAACAACTAAAAAAATTGAGTAGCAATAATCAGCAATAATTAGTAAATCGATAACAACTATTGTAATTGATTCTGGAACAAAATTGCTAGTTGAATGAAAAAATCAAATTTAATGGCAAGATCAAATTGTATGAAAAAAATGAGAAAGAATTACCAAATTTTTTAGGAGAGAGAATCAGAAGAAAGAGTTCTGCAGATAGGTAGGACCGTAGGAGAGAGAAATTAAAAATGTTAGAGAGTTTAAAATGAGAGTTAAGTACAAATTTAGAGTCTATCTTTTTAAGTTTTTCAGTTATATTTTTTTTTCACCTTTTGGGACTTCAAAAGTATTTTCCGATCAAAAACTAACCACAGGCGAGTTAAAAACTCAAAGGCTGTTTAGTTCATCTGATTTTAGCTGATCTGATCTGATTTGAACTTATTTTTTCTGATCTGATCTGATCTGATTTGAAATTATTTTTTCTGATTTGATCTGATCTGAACTTATTTTTTTTTATTTGATCTGATTTGAACTTATTTTTTCTAAATCTGATCTGATTTGAACTTACTTTTTCTGATTTGACCTTATTTTAATTATTTTAATATTCTACTTTTAATGTTAATCAATATTAATGTTTAATTATTATTGTTATTATTATTATTATCATTATTATTATTATCATCATTATTATTATTATTATTATTATTATTATTATTATTATTATCATCATTTAATTTATATTATATTATATTATTATTATTATATGATATTATATTATTATTATTATTATATTATTATTATATTATATTATATTATATTATATTATATTGTATTATATTATTATTATATTATATTATATTATTACTATTATATTATATTATATTATTATTATTAAATAATAATAATATCATTATTGTTAATGGAATTGTTTCTAAAATTTCAAAAGGTGAGATTGTTTCTGGAAGATGGAGCAAAGGTGTGATTATTAGATTTCATTTTTCTTTTTTTATTTCAGCTTTTATATTTAACTTGTTTAGGGCGTTTAAGTGTTTTTTTTTAATCATTTGTTCCTCTATTGAACCTTTTTTTATTCATGCGTGTATGGTTGTGTGGGAATGACACATTGACCCGTTTTAACCTGTCAAAACCCGAATTTAACCCGACCTGAATTCAACCCGACCTATTCCTAACCCGACTCGAATTTAACCTGACCTATTACTAACCCGACCCGAATTTAACCCGACCTATTACTAGCTTGACCCGAATTCAACCCGATCTATCATTAACCCGACCTGAAATCAACCCGACTTGTTATTGACCCGAAATTAACTAGCAATCTAGGATTACGTCATATTTTTTTTTCTTTCCCTAATTCTATGAGTTATTTTCCTATTTAATCTTATTCAAATATTTTCAAAAAAAATCTCTATTATCAAATGTATTATAATTTACGTCTCAAAAAAACCTATGAAAATTTATGAATACCACTACTTTTTGGATGCATGTGCATTCTTTATTCAAATTTAGTAATTACTATTTACGAATACTACTACTTTGTAGGTGCATGTGCATTAATGTAGTCAACCCGAAATGATCCGACCCGAATTAATCCGACCCACACTTACCCGACATGTTTACCCGAATTGACAGCTCTACTTCCGACCCATGTTCGCGTTAGGCTCCTCTATATGAAATGGGTGTATAAATACAATTATGGTTGCCTCAAGAAGACCCACTTGATGGGAATACATCGTTCAATGGGTGAATGGGAATACATCGTTCAATGAAATGGGTGTATAAATACATCGTTCAATGCTCCTGATGGGAATGACCCACTTGCTCTGGACTTCACCGGGATGGGAAAAGGTGAGGCATGGGTAAATGGGCAAAGCATAAGACGCTATTGGCTAAATTTAAGTTCGCCAAGTGGTGGTTGCAGTGACCATTGTGATTACAGAGGACCTTATAAATCGGACAAATGTCTCAAAAATTGTGGAAAACCGCCCCAGCAATTGTAACCACTTTTCCTCCATTAATATTATTGCCCCCCTAATTTTTTTTTTACTTTGTTTTCTGTTCTTTAATTTTTCACTTTTCCAGCTTTTGACCTTGCTTTCCTTTTTCCCATAACAACCTTCTATCTCTTTTTCTGTACTCACACTTTCTCTCTCCTCTCCGTTTTTTGTGTTTACTTCACACTCTTCACCATTGTTGGTACTTTACACTTCATTTTTCTAGAAATCTGAATTGGGTTTTCTCTAATTGGGTTGACCGACAAAAATATTAATTGGGAGTATTGGTAGTTTATTACTACAGTTTTTTTTTGTGTATATATATATATTTTCGTATTGCAATATCTCTTACCTACAACACATCAATCTCTCCCAAATTTTGTCCTTTTGTTGGTCATTGTAGTAGCTTGCTCGTATACAATCTCGTCGACAGGTAAATACCTTAACTCTTTGTTGTTTTTTTTATTATATTTTCATAATTTCGTTTACAATCATCACTTCATCGGGTAATTTACTAGTTATGGAGTATATTATTGTTTCAATTGAATTTTTATCTAAGGAGGAATTATTTAATTTTCAATTATTATTTTGCTATTGTTATTCTTAAAAATGATGACCTTTTCTTTATTTTAAGTGGAGAATAATAAAAAAAGAAGAATGGAAGTTGTAGTAATAATAACAACATAAATAGTCACATTACAATGTAGTGTAGTAGTATAACTCAAAAAATATACTACGTATATAATTAGATATGATACTTTTGTTGTTTTCTTTAATAAATTTCTATTTTGTTGAAAGATCAATATTGTAATTGGTAAACCTGGCCATAAACGACCGAGCAATAAAACTTCCCTACAAAATTCCTTTTGTTGGTAGGCCGATGTGGTTTATAATGACTCAGAGTCATGTTAAAGCATTTTAAAGTTCAATGAGAATCATCTAATTTCATGCGATTTTATGTCAAATTGATCCAATTGCTTAGTTAAATGTCGTTTTTGAATTGACTATCGTTAAGCCTTAATTACTCCGTAAAGGTCAATATAATATACTAATCGTAAATATATGAAATTTTTTGTCCATAGGGACCATTTAAACTTGTGTTTCTCTATAGTCCAATCAACTCATATATATAGATATTACTAATGATTGCATTTAAAGTAAAAAAAATAAAATAAAAATAAAAATAAAATCCTGAACATTATATATAAATGTTCCCTATTAGCTTGATGATGAGAAATTATGACAAAAATATGAAGTACGAGTTGGTGAAGTGGACCAGATTACTGGATCTGTAACTTTCAAACTAATAATATTTCTAAATTTAGGAACTCACCAACTAATAGTTTTTTTTTTTCATTTTTTTGACACAATATTATAATTCATAAATAATACGGAGTGCAATAATAATAATGGTCACTTGCTCATGCTTTAAGGAATAATTAAAAAGGAAATCAAACTTAAACAAATACATACCTACTGACGTATGCAAAGCATTACTTTAACTTTATTACAATTAATTAATTAATACACTTTGCATAGACAATACCTTAAAAAAAGGACAGTTTTTTGGATTATAGGCTATATAAGTGTTTAGTCAAATTGATGATTGTATAGTAGGTGATAAGATGATATATCATTTTTTTTAAATTATCTATCGATTGTCACCTTGTTATTTAACTTTTACAATACTTGTGATTTGTGAATTGTTTACTTTATGGGTTTAATTGTTTAGAGTTGGGTTATAGTGAAAATTAGTGCAAAATTAGTGAAAAAACAGCATGGGTACAAAGTATAGTAGCATAGCCCAGTATAAAAAATTGGCCAGACAAACAACATATGAATAAAAATATTAACTGGGTTGCTATGATATGCAATGATATGCAGCAAAAAATGCAAATTTCTTTTCTAGATCAAATACATCCATGTTCTGTGGTCCTAGTTTGGTCCTAGTTTCTCAATAGATGTTAGAAGTAGTACGTATATATTTTTTGAAGAAGAAGAAACGTAACGTATATATTTATGTACTTATTTTGATTATTTATATCTTTCATGCATGAAACTAATAATTTTAAAGTGCTCTTGATCATAGTGTAATGGCTGGTAGGGTAGCATGGTCTGATGACAATACAAATTATTTTTTGGACATATGCTTGGAGATGAAAGCAGGTGGACTATCAAAGGTTAATTGGGATAGAATAGTGAGTAATTTGAACGTTAAAAGTGGGAAGAATTTCAATATTAAACAAGCAAGAAATCATTGGGATGATTTAAGGAAAAAGTTCAAAATTTGGAATGAAATGGAACTCAATTGGACCGGTCTTACATTTGATCCTATTACTGGTTGTCCTGTAGTTGAACAAGATGATAGGTGGAATATATTTGTAAAGGTATGACATTTTGTTTATCCATTTTGTTGCATTATGACCTCTACAATGCTAGTTTATTTTAAAATTTATTTAATCGAAATTTTGTGCATTTATGCAGAAACATAAAGGTTTTCCAGCGAGATTCCTAAGGAGACCATTGCCTCATCTAGAGAAGTTACGGGCACTTTTTTCAGGGTCTTTTGCTACTAGCAAATGGAGTTTTTCTCCCGGATTAGGTGGGGAACAAATTGGTAAAGAAAATGAGGAAAGGTCCGGGGACAATGATGAAAATATAGGAGATATGGAAATAAGTAGGGGAATAAATAATTCGGATGATGAACAGAGCATTTCACCTCCTAAAAGTACCTCGTTGGGGAAACGTAAGAGTGACGGGTGTACTAGTAAACTTAAAAAAAACAAGAGTAGTAACATTGACTCTTGTATAGAGTTGTTGAAAATGTCTATTGAAACTAATTGTAAGCAAGGGAGTGGTAATAAGTATAAAGATGTCTCAGATGCTCTATACAATATTGAGGCTATTGTTCAACAAGGAGAAGGATTTATTTACCAATGTATGAATTTTCTTCATCATGACGATAATGCAGATTTCTTCTTAGGTCTCCGAAGTGATGATCAGAAGATCATGTATTTGAAGACAACATTTCAAGATCCAACATTGGGTGGTCCTTAATTAGGTTTTTTGGGGTGATGAGTATTTGAAGTTAACTTTGTCTTATGTTTTCCTATGACTTGTTTTGCACTTTCATATGTTCTTTGTTAGTTATTTGATGTTGTTCTAGTTTTAATTAAGGTTCCACATATGAAGCTACTATTTTTTTTTCTGACCTTTAGGTTTAAGTAGCTTCATATGATGCTATTGCTTTTCAGGTGATCTAATTAAGAAGCTTTAGCCTTTATTTTAAAAGTCATTGTTGATTTTATTTTACAAATTGAATAATGTTGGTATTTTGTTGGTTTATGTTGTAGAATGGATAACACACTTCCAATGTGCTTGGCAATTATCGCATTAGAAGAGCTAAAGAGACTTGTTACACCAATTGAGTGATTGCCTCTAAGGTTAGGTGGAGAATCTGGTAGCGAATACATAAACAGACTACTACATGCCCATCCTGATTTATGCAAAGAACAATTGAGATTAGATAGAAACATATTTGTGGATCTTGTTACTTGCATGAAAAATAAAAATTTATTATCGGATGGTCGTTACATATCTGTGGCTGAGCAATTAGGAATATTTTTATATATCATGGCTAAAGGCAGTTCTTATCGTGATGCTGCCGGTTGATTTCAGCACTCTATTGCAACAATTGGGTTGTACTTTAAACAAGTACTGGAAGCAATGGTTCATTTTTCTACCGAGATCATAAGACCATACCAAAGTTTGACCGTGGTGCCAAAAAAATAGGTGACAGCACAAAATATTGGCCATATTTCAAGGTATTAAGAAACATTATTATTATCTTGCATTGTCATTATATTATTTTATGCATATGCAATATATAATCACTTATAAAATGTATCCTAAATGTTAATGAACTATTAGGATTGTGTTGGAGCATTGGATGGGACTCATATAAATGCAGTTGTAAGCGATGATGATGGTGTGGCACATCGATGGCGTAAAGGAAAAAAAACATGGAATGTTTTGGCTTCCTGTTTCTTTGATAGGCTTTTCACGTTTATCAACGTTGGATTTGAAGATAGTGCTCATGATATTACTGTATGGAACCATTGCTTAACTGTACCAGAATTTCGATTTCCCTATCCACCTCCAGGTATAATTTAAAATAGTGTATGTTTTTACTCCATACATGACACTATACTAATATGTTGTATAACTTTATTTTGTTACAGGAAAATATTATCTAGTAGATTCTGGATATCCAAATACCGTTGGATATTTGAGTCCAATAAAAGAAAAAGATATTAGAACCCATTTGCCTGAATTTCGAAATGGTCCACCACCACAAGGCATGCTTGAACTTTTTAATTATCTTCACTCTTCACTTCGAACAACGATCGAGAGATGTTTTGGACAATTAAAAGGTCGATGGAAAATATTGACAATGATGCCACAAATGGACACTAAACATCAATTGGCAATTATGGTTGCTACATTCACACTTCACAATTTTATTCGATTACATGAGTTGGATATAACCATTGATAGTGATATAGAAATCGAACCAAGAGCAGATTATGATTTGTTTAACGAGAATCGTAAAGCTGTAATGAAAGAAGTACAACTTAATATAGCGAAGGAAATTTGTAATTTCTTGTAATGAAAATTATATTTGTAAACGTTTATGATTTGGAGCTTATAATGAAATTTTAATTATTATCATTTATTGTTTGTGCTATTTAATAACATAGACAATGTTGCTAGTTCAAAAAAACGATAAAATCAAATCCGATACATCATAAATCAATAATAATAATAATAATAATAATAATAATAATAATTTGATCTGAACTTATTTTTTCTGATCTGATTTGAACTTATTTTTTCTAATCCGATCTGATCTGAACTTATCTTTTATGATCTGATCTGATCTGAACTTATTTTTTCTGAAATAAGTAAAAATAAGGTGAACTAAACAGGGCCTCTTTCTCTTAGCTAAAAACTTAATCCCTTAAAAAGTGTCTTTAAAAATGTCCCTTGATTAAAATCTTGTGTTTTTTTTTGGAGCTTCATTAATATATAATACCCACCTCAAGGTATTAAAGAAAATTGCATAAACTTGATTTTTTCCAATCTAAATTTATGCCAATTTGTTTAAGTTGTTAGCTTTTTTTTTTTTCAAAAAAATTACACATAAAAACTTCAAAAATCATCAATGGCTAACAATCAATTGTATCAATTGCTGTCCCAGAAGATTGTTCATATTGCAACTGGTGATTTTTCAATCAATTTGTTATTTAATATTGAGGCTAATTTTGATGTAAATGGTGATAAAGGATTTATGATATTTTTTAAGCCATTGGATTCTCTGTCTAACAGCAATTCGATGTGGAGAAGAGAAAAAAATATAAGTGGGTCTTTGAGTTTCCATTTTGTGCTATGAACTGGTGAGAAATGAGTGGTGATGTGGGTGGTAGTGGGGTGTTCTCCAGCCAAAATCTGATCTTGTGAATTTTCTCTTCCTATTGTTAAGTCTTTCTTTTTCTTGATGATTTTTTTTGGTGTTTTTTTTCTCGATGATTTTGAGCTACATAATTTTAGTATCATGATTACATATTCTTTTGCTAGATTTATTTAAGTACTTTTTCTGTTTCTTTTTCGCCGACACGTTTTTTTAGTCACGTTTGCCCTGATTTTTTAGTTAGTATTGAAATTGTTTAATTTAGTTTTAGTTTTGTTGATTTAGGAAAGTGAAAGATGTGATCTCAATATTATTAATTTGCGTAGAAATTTTATTCAAATAAAACAAAAAATAAAAACACTGTGTATTCATTATAATATTGCCCATTTTTTCATTATGTTTTGACAGAGTTAGTTTAATTATTGTTTGAGGTATCAAATGGTAAAAATTAAAAAAACTTAGATCCTAACTTTATGTTTACTAGGGACTAAGTTTTTGTATTAAATGAGATTAAAGACCTGACATTTACTAATGAAGGGTCTAAGTTTTTATTCATTGCTCCGGTGAATTAAGTGTGGTAAGTTTACCTGATTCTTAACCATAGGTCCCAAAAGGTTTAAAAAAAAGTGAGAGGTCCCAAAAGATGAAAAATGTGAAAAGTGAGACCCCATTATTATACTTAACTCGTTAAAATGACGATCGAAAGCTGAAAATGTTACGGAGTAAATGAGATATTATCCGTCAGATTATATTCGATGGTTAGGATCAGTCGTTTTCATTTTTCATTATAAGGTTTGTATTTACATGATCCATTCCTTATATATATAATCCTTCCATTTTGCATTAGTTGCAATAGTAGGCTTGACTCATAGTTTAAGTAAATTATAGACTAGGCTTATAGGTTTATAATATAAAGTATTGTTAGTAAGAGATAGAAATAATAAAAAAAAAAGTGGTATGGGTGGGGTTGGTAGGAAAGAGAAATAATAAAATATTTGTAAAAGTGGGGTTAGTGGGAGAGAAAAATTATAAAATAATGATGGGTCTTTTCCAAATAAAGTAGTGTTACAACTAATATGAAACGGCCGAAAATGGAAAGTGTTGCAACTTATGCGAAACGGAGGGAGTATATACTAGGTTAGAACCCGTGCGATGCACAGTTTATATAAAATTTATTTTTATAATTTGTACATTTAAAAAAAATGGATAAATATAAATAAGAATTATGCACCTTGTACAAAAATATTTGTAATTTTATAGTTTTAGATTTTCATCAAAATTATGATATAATACCTGTTCAACATCGCCTAAAACATATTTCAATGTAGGAGTCCATTCATTAGTGTCCTATTTTTATTTTTTAAAGATAAATTGATAGGTTGTAGTTGTAAGGTAGAAGCTTCTAATATTCAAATTTTAAATTGTTATATATGGTAGCTCCAAAAAAAAAAAAAAAAAAAAAAAAGACATCATCCTTGCATTTAGGCGGGAAAAAATTTATTATGTGAGTGAAATGTGGACAGTGATGACGTCAGAAACGTTTTGTTTAAGTAATAGTTAATAGATTAGATTTTATTTGAAAAATACATACAAACCGTGTATCGCACTGGCTTCATCTAGTAAATTATACGTGTCAGACTAATGATTAGTTGTTACGTACGTGACACGATACTTGACGAATAGGTAGGATGCCAAGTTCTAATGTCTCGTGTGGCCCTAGCTAATTGTACGGCTTAAGTTTTGTTGCAGTGTAACTTAACTAATTGTACAACTTTATATATTTAATAATGAATGGAATATTTTTTTTAAGTCGCTTATTAAAATATATCATACGTGATTTTTTTTAATTACTATATAATAAGAATAATATGATATGAAAATAATTAATTTATAAGATAATTATTGAAAGTTATAATTTAATATTTTTTAATTAAGTAATAATTTAATTTGTACACGAAATATTGGTACTTTATCGAAAATAAAACTCTAAACCATTAATTTTATATTTTAAATCTATCCAATTATATTGTAAATAAAACTCTAAACTAACTTTTTTATCCTACATAATGTCTAAACCTATTCATCTTTCTATATATCCTATAGAAAAATCTGTCCTTTTTATTTTCTACAAAAATACATTCAAATAAATCTCACTTTTTAGTTATTTTAATTTACTTTTGAGATATTTTGAGTTACTTAAGTGTGCTTTATATTTATTTTCGAGATAACCTATGTAGGAATCAAACCTACACCTCTATGCATCCGCATAGTTCTCTACCACTTGAGCTAATAGGTTTACTTTAAAGTAAGTTTTTTTTTTTAATTCACTTTAGATTCTTTTTAATTTACTTTAGAGACCACTTAGGATTATGATCGTTCTATGAAATTTTGGCAGTTGCTAGTGGTTAGGAAAAAAAAGGTTTAAGGAAAAACTATGATTCAAATTCACAATAAAAATATTACTCATACTAAACAACAGTAGTATACTCATATACATACACTGACACAAATATTAAAGAAGAGATTATAGGGATTACCTGTATGTTAGCCATATCATTTGAAGGTAACATCGAATTAGCAAACTTACAATGAAGGTGTTTAGGGGTTTTTGGAGTTCCTTGGGAGAGTTACAATTTCAAGAATGGGTGCCGACCGTCTGTACCTACAAAACCACGGAAACTCCGGTTGGGTGGAGTTCCGCCTCCGAAGATCAAGTTAGTATGTGTACGGATGGAGTTAAAAGTGCGGAATGTAAAGAGTTTCTCTCGGATTCCGAAAGAGAGTATCTGCAATTAATATTACTCTGTTTTTTGAGAATATTTCTGAATGTGTAATAAATGGGGATCTCTCCCTATTTATAGGGTTTGAGGATCAACTCCCCTTTTATGACTTGGACTGCCACGTGTCGTCAGAGGATTGGTTCTTTCAAAACCTTTCTCGAGGCTGACACGTGTCAGCATGCAATTGGTCCACGTGGACCGGGGTATTTTTAACCTAAACAGTTGCCCTCACAGGTGTGACGTGGCTTGCCACGTGGCACCTGTGACAGGTCTCACCATCTGAGAAGGCGACGATTTGCCTTCTGTGGGATTTATTTTATAAGTAGAAGTCCACCCCCCTCATTTTCCTCATTTCACACTTTGAGAAATTTTCTGAGAGAGAGGAAAAAGAGCTCTGAGACCGGCTGCCATTTCTTTCATAACCGCCTGCGTCTTCTTCACTCAAACGGCTACCGCCTGGGTACCCATTACTCAAAACTTATTAGCACCGTCTGAGCATACTTTAATTGCTTCCCTCTGCTTTCAATACGCCCACATCCGGTCAACCGTCTGGGGTATCATCAAGCAAGACTTCAAAGAAACGCCTGGGTTCTTCAGCAATTTTTGATTTCTTTCAAAAGGGGTACATCCGGGCAACCGTCTGGGTATCTAGCAAGCAATTGATAGATTTCCGACTGCTGATTCAGCTAGTCAACCTTCTCCACTTTCAAAGCTTCTTCAAGGTACCGTCTCTACCCTTTGCAACTCTTTTGAGCTTTTCCGGTTGTATGCTTTGTAAGGAATAATGGACTCACCCAACACACACACGGCACGGCCTAGGACAATTGTCAGCTGGTCTCCTGATACGGCTGAGTCTAGGACTGGGGATGTCGTATGGGGGTGTTTGGACCACCCTTTCTCTTCCACGAATCCGACCGTCTATGTGCATGTGCAAGACAGGATGGCTCAGACGAAGCGGACGACTGTTGACCCTGACTACAGATCAGACGGCTCCATAGAAGCGCCGACTGACATATAATATTTTGACCCTCCGGGTGCACCCAACACACTCAGCGACAACATTTTGGAAGAGTCTGAGGATGTAGGCGGTGATGAGACCATCCAACAATCAGACTCTGAGGAGTCAGCATCCTTAGAACCGGATGCCTTCAGGGAGGATGAGGAGGCGTACAAATGGCCCTCCATCAATAACCCTACCGAAGCGAGCATGTCCACCAGGGACATCACTACCCTGAATGCCACCTTCCCCGCCTTTATTAAGAAGTGCCAGGTTGGGGATAGGTGGGAAGTACTTGTACCGCCTGCAGAGGCAACCATCGTCTAGGATGACGACATTGATCACGCCAATAACTATTTCGGCTGTTATGAGGCGGCATTTAAAGCCGGCCTCCGGTTCCCTCTTCACAACGCCATCAGAGCTATATTGAGAGGCTATGATTTGGGCGTCTGGAAGTTAACACCCAATTCTTGGGTGAACATTTTAGGATATACTGCCGCCTGCGAGATGCAAAACGTAACACCTAGCTTGGAGGCGTTTGCACATATGCACCACCTTAGCCGTGCCCCAGGCGGCTAGCAAGCGTGGTATACTTTGACGACTCACCCGGAATATATGATGACGCTTGACAAGCCGTCAAAATGGAGCAATTGGAAAAGAAAATTTTACTTAGTCTCCTCTCCTTCCCTTCGCCTGAACCGCCAGCTCCGGCACTATAATAGGGAAGAAGTGTGCCCTTCCTCGCGTCCCGGAGGAGGCATATACACAAATAATAGAGGCGGGGCTGTTTGAGAAAACAACCATGCCCCTAGATGACGGGTCCGAGATTATTATACCCAAGAATTGGGTACCCCATCCGGACTGGCTTAGGGATGAGGCTTTCCTCTCCGCCAACGGCCTTAACACCTTTTTCAGTAGACGTATGTAGAGAAGTTAACTGGCTTTTTTCTGCCGTCTATTATATTCTGAGTTGTATTTGACTGATTTTCTTTTTGCAGAAAAAGGACTAGAAATGGTGCCACCTGAAAAGACACCGGCTAAGTCTACTGCCCTGATCCGAAAGGATCAATTAGAAAAGAGAAGAGCCCAAATGGCGGCCAAGGACGATGGGGTAAGCTCTGACTGAGTCTTTTTTACTGTCTATATAGTTTCGATGTCAACTCAAATATTAACCGGTTGTGCTCTGTTTCTTTTTCAGGCGGGGATCAAGAATGTTCCTCGCTCAATTGCAAAAATGCTAAAAAGACCTTATGAGGAGCCTTCCCAGGCTCTTTCTAAGGCAAGGAGGGTTCCGGCTGCCACCCCCCCCCCCCACTTCTGGAAGGCCGCCTGTATCTGACAGGCTAACCTTAGCAGGCAAGAGCTTGAAGGACCTCGGCTTAAACATAGGACTGGTTGACCTTGAGGTGAGGGAGCCCGAAACACCCTCGAGCCAGTAACCTGTTGCAGAACCCGACTCCAATGCAGCTGGGGGTAGGGTGACCCTCAGCCTAAAAATGAAGGTATGGCTTTCACCTATGATCCCCCCTGGCCGCTTGGGCCTATACGAGTCAAGTCTTAAGTTATCCAATTAGGGGATTCCTCCGACAGCCGGCTGAATATAGGTGTCGCCTATGCTCGTTACTTAACAAATGACTCTATTAGTGCAGATGCCTCCTCCCGTTAGCCTGACCTCCAACAATACGCTAAGAGGATGCTGAGGACCATCACAAGGTCCGAGAAGGAGAAGGTGTCGGGCGTGCATCAGGTCAACATTGACCGCCTCAATGCTCTGCTTGCTGAGGTAATTTGCCGGTTGGGGTATTAAAGCCAAATTGGCTCTCCTTCGCCTGGCATTTAGAATGCGCTTTTATTACCTTTTTGTCGTTTGTACAATAATTGAGAGACTAACTCTTTTCCGGCTGATGTTGCAGGTGATGCTGAGGGTAGACGGCCTCAAGGTTCCCTAAAGGAAGAAGCAATGGAGGAGGTAAGGGACGCCAATAGGCGGGCGGCTGATCTCATTGATGTTACTCAGTACAACACATTAATGTATGAAATTAAAACTAAAAGCCGGGAGATGAAACAGGAGGAGCTTATCAAGGAGCTCATTGCGGCTGCGGAGACGGCCAACAAGAAGGCGGCTGACTTTGAGCTGCAAGTGAAAAACCTCCAGGCCGATGTCAAAGCACTGGGGGATGCTGATAAGGAGAACACCCAACTGAGGGGAGACGTCTCCCGGCTGAAGAACGAGTTGGCCCAGACGTAGGCCAAACACAAAGCTAAGCTCGCGGTCGAGCAAGCCCGGTTGGTTGCTGAAAACGAGCAAGACTTTGAGGCTCGAATGTAGATGGCCTGGTCCCTCGTCCACCCGGACCGCGTATGGGAGTTCTTTGAGCTGAGGTACAAGTATGTCACCAAGGTGTACGATGCTCAAGCTCTCAGTCTTGAGAAGCCGGCTCCCTTCGAGGAATGGGCGGGCATTGAAGATCAGGAGGAGGAGCTGGCGGAAGAACAAGCGCCGACTGATGCTAATCAGGCCCAGCAAACTCAGGATGCTCCTCCATCTGGCCAGGGCCAGACGTCTCAACCTCCCCAGCAGCAGTGAACTGAATCTTTATTCCCAGCCTGCATGCCGAGTATTTTATATGTACTTTTTTCTCCCCTGACGTAGTTTCGGCTGACATTTACTCTTTTTTTTTTATATAGAATTTGTCGACTGAGTCGGTTTTGCCTATATTTCCCTTTGATATATTTTGCTTCAATTTTTGCAATTTTCTATCTTTTTGCAAAGTAACTTAGCGCATGTGGTTTAACGGATGCATTGGCTTATCCTGCCCCTGGACGGTTGTTTGTTTGGTAATTGTCTCACCCTAAGCAAGCAGTCGTCCAATAAAGCATCTTGATGAATAGACAGAGAGTCATTGGCCGCTTTTAAGAGAAATTTCCCAAAGTATTTTCTAAGTTGGAATAGCAGACGGTTTCGGCTAGGGACCAACCTAGATTACTCTATTAACCGGCTGTGATTTAGCCCTTAGGGTAATCAGTCTTTGCTATTTGCATAATAGCAAGCGGCCATTGGCCGGGTGTAGGGGTCATAACCATGTTATGTTTTAGGTGCTTAGGCTTTGACCTTGCTTAATTTTGATTTGTAACCGGCGGTAGTGCCTTTGGGCAAAGACCGGTTACCTCTGACTAAGATATCAGTTACCGTTTGTGTTGCTTTGAAGCAACGACCGGTTGTATCTAGGTCTCAATTGATTATTTAAACGGCCGTGAGTTATCTTTAACCTAGACAGTCGGTTAAAGCCGCTTGAGTTATGATTTATAGAACAATTTATCACCCAAATGGGAGATGCTCTCTTCAACGAATTCACCCATATGGGCATCGCCGATTTCCTGCTCATGCTGGAACCAGTGGTTTGAAGATTATCCGGCCATTGGCCTCGTAAATAGCTGCTAAGTTTTGGACTTAGCCTATATTTGCTCAAGTTAGAACAGAAGTATGCCCGGTTATGCATTGCACAGATGGGACTTTATACAAGAAACCATAAAAATAAAGCATCTTTTCATTAATATACTCTATTTACAAAGATTAACAATTCTTTAGAAGTAATACTTTTTCAAGTTGTCTACATTCCAAGTTTTGGCTAGCTACATGCCGTCTGGAGTTTCCAGGCGGTAGGTGCCGCCTCTAACTTCTTCAAAAATTTGATAGGGCCCTTCCCAATTAGGGGTCAACTTTCCTTGCTCATTGGCCTTACTAGTTGCCTCCATTTTTCATAACACAAAGTCCCCCACTTTTAAGGGTCGTTTGTGCACTCTTCTGTTGTAGGCTCTCGTCATTCTCAGATGGTAAATCTCATGACGCAAGGCGGCTTTGCCTTTGAGTTCCGAGAGTGAATCCAATGCTAGCCGCATGGCCTCCCAATTATCCTCTTCATCATAGAGCATGATTCGAATTGTTGGCTCGTAATGTTTAATAGGTAGGATGGCTTCAGTGCCATATGTCATGAGAAATGGGGTTTCACTGGTTGCCCCTTTTTCGTTTGTTCTGATGGCCCATAGGACATGAGGCAACTCATCTGCCCATAGACCGTTAGCCCGTTCAATTTTCTTCTTAATGCCGTCTGAGATGAGCTTGTTGAAGGCTTCAACTTGGCCGTTTTCTTAGGGACGACCGACTGATGCAAAACAATGTGAGATTCCTTGATCTCCCAACCAACTCTTGAGGGTAGGCGTCTCAAACCGAGGGCCATTGTCAAAGACCATAGACATAGGTACCCCAAACCGGGTGACAACGTTCCTCCAAATGAAGGAGATGACATCCTTTGTCTTTATGCCCTTGACCGCCTCTGCCTCTACCTATTTTGTGAAGTAATCAACGACATCTAGAATGTACCTCCGTCCACCTGTAGTAGGCGTATACAGATCCAGAATGTCCATGCCCCATTTGGCGAATGGCACTGGGCTGTAGATAACCGTTAAATCAGTAATCAGATGGTGGATGAGTTTGCTGAACTTTTGACATTTATCACACTTCTTCACCATTTCCATGGCATCCGCCTCAAGAATGGGCCAAAAGTAGCCTTTCCGCCTAAATCTTTTTGTTAGAGTTCTGCTGTATATATGTGATGCACAAAAGCCCGAGTGCAGATCCTCTAGAACTTTTGTCCCCTTTTCCGGGGTAACGCATTTCAGCAACGGCTGGAGGTAACCCTTCTTGAAGAGTTCTCCATTATGGATCTCAAAACTTGCGGCCCGCTTCTTCAATGCAACCGCTTCTGAATGGGCATCCGGCAAAGTGTCGTCTGCCAAATAGGCCCGGATGCCATCTATCCAGGTCAAGCTTTGGTCAAGAATTCCAATGGGATCATGCTCAATACTTCTCTTTTCAATGACTTCCCAAAAGACTGACCTAGGCGTATCACAAGAGGCGGATGATGCTAATTTAGAGAGGGCATGCATCCGCCTGGCTGTTTTCTGACCTGGGCACCGGACTTAGATTAAATTCGTTAAGTGTCCTGTCCCGTCTTTGACTGCCTGAAGATATTTGATCATAGCCGGATGGGTGGCCTCGTAGTCACCATGGTATTGGCTAACGATCAACTGAGAATCAAAGCAGGCGTCAACCTGTCTTGCCCTTGCCGCCTTACACATGCGGATACCGACTGGCAGGGCCTCATATTCCGCTTCATTATTCGTGGCTTGGAACTTAAACCGTAGTGCATATTCATATTTGTCCCCTTCCGGTGACTGGCATATTATCCTTGTACCACAGATGTTCATAGTAGAGCTCCCGTCTACATACACTTTCCAAACCTGATCAAGATTTTCCGGCTGAGCCGGCCTTGTCATTTCGACAATGAAGTAGGCAAACGCCTGACCCTTCACTACCTTTCTAGGTTCGAAAGTGATTTCAAGGCTTTGCATTTCAATAGCCCACTTGAGCATCCTACTGGATGACTCCAAAGTTGTTATTGACTGCTTGAGGGGTTGATCTGTGTAGACCACCACTGGATGAGCCAAGAAGTAGGGTTTCAATTTATTGATTTCCATGAAAAGGGCAAGGCCAAAATTTTCAACCAAGGGATACCGTAGTTCTGCATTTCGAAGAACATGGCTAATGAAATAGACCGGGAGCTGAATGTCGTCTCTCTCAGCCAGGAGAATGGCACTGAGGGCATGATCTGAGACGACCAAGTACATGTAAAGAACCTCCCCGGCTAGGGGGCTAACCAACCTTGGCAACGAGTGTAAGTGCTCTTTAAATTTATGAAATGTCGCCTTAGAGTTTTCCCCCCATTCGAATCTAGTCTTCTTCTTGATTGCTTGGAAGAAATAGAGGCACTTGTCACCTGACCAGCCGAGGAATCTCCCCAATGCCGCCAGGCAACTGGTCAATTTTTGAACCTCTTTGACAGTGCGGGGAGACTTCATGTCAATTACAGCCTGCACCTTTTCTAGATTGGCCTCTATCCCCCTTTGATCAATCAAAAATTCGAGAAACTTCCCAGACTCAACACCAAAGACACAGTTCTTGGGATTAAGCATGACCTTATGCCGCTTGAGGTTGGTGAATGTTTCTCGGAGGTCAGCAAGGTGATCCGGCTGTAGTTTAGATTTGACTATCATGTCATTAATGTACGCCTCTACATTCCTCCCAAAATTATTAATGAAGACTGTATTAATCATTCGTTGGAAAGTAGCAAGCGCATTCTTCAGCCCAAACGGCATCACCGTATAACAGAATAACCCTTGATTAGTGAAGAATGTCGTCTTCTCTTGATCTTTTTTCCACAAGGGTAACTGATGAAAGCCTGAGTAGGCGTCCATGAAACTCATCAAGGCATGACCGGCTGTAGAGTCGACCAGACTGTCAATCTTTGGAAGTGGATAGCTATCGTTTGGACATGCCTTGTTCAGATCTGTGTAATCAACACACATGCGCCAGGTACCATTCGACTTTTTCACAAGAACAACGTTTGCTACCTAATCCAGCATCCATTTGCTTCTTGACTTCGACGGCAGCCGTTTGAGATCTCTCCTCACCGTGGTTTCTTTTCTTTTGCCTAAAAGGCTTCTTTTTTGGATCCATGACGAGTTTGTGGACAGCGAGATCTGGGCTGACGCCTGGCATCTCTTCCACTTCAAAGGCAAAAATATCTTTGAATTCTTTCAACAGTCGGTGCAGGTCAGCACCCAACTTTGCAAAAGCAGCCGTCCCCACCTTAACAGTTCGCATGCATCGTCCAAAGGGATGTCTATATGCTCAACAGCCAGTTGGGGATGGAGATCATCTGACCGTTCCCCGATCAGTGATTGCTATTGCTTTTCGTTCTTGACGGTCACCAACTGGTCCGCCTTCCTCTTTTTGCCGGCTGCCTTAGGAGCAGGCGCGGCTTCCTTGAAGTCATCAAGGTCAATAGGTTCTTTGCCTTGGCCAGCTGTGGCCACAGTAGGCTTGACGTCTGAGAGATAACACTCCCTTGCCGTCTTCTAATCCCTATTCAGGGAACCTACTGACCCATCATCCCTCTCAAATTTCAGCAGCATGAGGGATGGGATGATAACTGCCTTGGACTCATTGAGGGTTAGATGACCCAAAATTAGATTGTAGGCGGTCAATTCCTCAACCACCAAGAATTTGACGACCATGTGGTGTCCTTCCCCCTTTTTTCCTAGCCGGATGGGTAGGTCAATCCTCCCCACCGGATGCACTACTCCACCCCCAAAACCGACTAAGGGGTGAGAGACGTTATGCATGCTGCTAGGCTTGTACTTGAGCTTTGCTAAGCACCTGCAGTTGATAAGATCAGACGAGCTCCCGGTATCAATAAGGATCTGGCCCACTCGTTTATTGGCGACCTTGCACCCGATGACAATGGGGTCATCATGTGGCCGCCTGACCTTGCCACGGTCCTTCTTAGAGATGATGACCTCAGGGAAGGTGTCTTTCGACGCTTGGCCCTCATCCACTGAGTTGACCTCCAGCCTTCTGATGTAGTCCTTGGTGCCCCGAATGATAGGACCCCCTCTAGAAAAATCGCCTGCTATAGTATAGATCTGATCTTCATCAGTGTCAGAGCTAATAGCAAGCTGGTCTGACTTTTTGGGCGACTGTCCACTGTTTGTTTTGAGGGTCACCTTGGACTTCAGAATGTATGACTTTAGTACCCCTTTGTCAGCCAGACGGTCCAATGACCGCCTGTGGCCATAGCTATCGTTGGTGTCATGGCCTATATCCTCATGGAAGTGGCAATATTTGTCCTTGTCCCGACTTTTGACAGGGCTTTTCATTGCAGCCGGTTTCTCAATAGTCACCCGATCTTTGATCCCCATGAGGATGGAGTAACAATCCTTGTTGAACTCGTACTTGGGGACGTACAGTTTCAACTCTTTCTTCTTCTTCTGGGATGACTGACCAGAATTGTCTGCCACCCAGACCTCTTTCCTTTTCTTGCTCTCTTCTTTTCTAGCCGGCTAAGCTGACCGGCTTTCTTTTTTGTCAGAATTTTTAGTGTCCGACGGCTGCTTGATGGAACAGAGCTCCGTCGCCTGTATATAGGCTTCGGCTTCCATCAAAGCTTCTTGGAGGGTAACAACCCTCTTTCTAACCAGGTCGAACTTTAAGGTCGACCCGTCCTTTAGACCCTTGAAGAAGTCTGTATAGCCAACTTCGTCAGACAACCCTTGAATCTGAATTCTCATCAGATTGAACTGGCTGACATAGGACCTTAGACCCTCTCTATTTCCCTGCTGAATAGCTCCCAAGTCGAGACTTGTCTTTTTGGCAGGGATATACATAGTGAAGTTGGACGCGAACAAGTATGCAAGCGTCTTGAAATTGTTGATACATCCGGCTGGCAGATTGCCAAACCATCGTTGGGGTATACCCTTCAATGTCGCCGGGAAGCATCGACACCAGGCGGCGTCATCCAACCCTTGTAAATACATGAGGTTGGTGAATGCCATTAGATGGTCTTTTGGGTTGGTGGTACCGTCATAGGTACCAACCAACACATTCTTAACCTTGGCCGGTTGAGCCGCCTTGGTTATATCCCATGGAGAACGCCGACGGCTGTTCCCCAAGGTATAACAGCTGGAGCTGCCAGTCCATTGGCTGGACATATAGTGCCGCCTGACCCCCAAAGAGGGACGGCTGCATGTCAATCATACAATTTTACTTTCTGTCATAATATTGTACTAATAGAGAAAGATATCGTAAAAATAGGGAATTCTACATAATTTCAGTCTTTAATTAGGATTTACATGCTAAAAGGTTTTGCAAGGTTCAATTTTATACAATTCATCACTCTTATTTTAGAATACACTCGGTTACTTATCTATGATAAGGGTTGAGTACAATTTATATTCGAGCATATTCGCTTAATTGCTTTGATTAGGATTGAACAACTCAATTATTGGATATAGAAAACGACCCACCTCAATTATTGGGAAGATTTAGCAACCAAGTATGCTAAAGTATTACCGACTCTCTTAACATGACTACATCGAAAATCATCGAACAAAGACATCAAATCAATAACACGACCAATGAAGAGAAACAAATAGCTAAGCTAGCCCTGACATTTTCCCCTTAATTTTCTCAACGATAATAAGAGCATCATTCTCCATCCACACCCTGCTATAGCCAAAACTCCATGACATCTCAACCCCATAACACAAAGCAACAGCCTCAGCAACACTTGGTTCCCACCCGCCAATTCTTCTCCTTACTGCAATGTTTAAAACCTTGCCATTTGAGTAACGCATAACCACCCCAAGACCCACTTTTTTCCCATTCATGATTGCAGCATCCACATTATCAAATTAATAGGAGGTTTTACCTACCTAGGAAGAAGCAGACTATGTGCCACTTCTTTTCACCTTGGTAAAGACTCTAGCAGCATATGCATTATAGTCATAGACATACCTGGTGAAACTTGTACCTAACATTATAGGATCGTGTGTTGAAGGCTCATGAATGACGTTATTCCTGCTAGTCCAAGAGGACCAACATAAGTTTGCAAACACTAAAATCTCATCTTTTGATAGTCTCTCTACCACCCAGCTTAGGCTATCCTGAAAAGAAGAGTTGGGAGCTTCTGTAATCAATTCTAAAAATCGACTCACACCCCAAATTAGGCTAGAATATGCTTAATTTAAGAGAGGATTAGTTTACTTTTAGATAGATATAGTTTACTTTGAAAATTATTGCATCCGAATTGATACAAACTTTGCTACCAACAGGTGGCACCCAAGAGCTCCTAGCAGCTGCCCCATTCAAACTCCTCTAACTATCCCAAAAATTATATCAATTTATTTTTTATAATCCCCAACCAGTCGAACGAACCCCATGACTCCAATATCCCACTTCTGCCATGGCTCATTAAACATAACAGAGTTCTTATAAGACCACACACCTTACACCAAAGACACAAACATTAAAATGTCCTAATTGTTGGCATTAGTTAACTTTAAGAGAGAATTAGTTTACTTTTGGAGAGATTTAGTTTACTTTTATGAGATGTATACTTAATTGAATAAAAATTTCTAAATAAACAAGACCTCGAATTAAGCATCTTTTTAAGACTTTTAACCACTATTTAACAAACAACATATATATATAGGGGAGGGATTCGGTAAGAACTCATCCTTATATAAGAACCCTAGTTATATAAGAACCAATCTCAGCCGTAGGATCAAAATAGGATGGGCGGTCAAGATGAAACAAAATAAAATGAATTTTAATCTTTCCTACACTTAAAAAAAAGCAACTCTAACTTTCTCTCTCTTCGTATACGTTTATGACTTTCTCTCTCCTCACCCCAAAAATCTTCATAGAAATTGAAATTTGAAGGATTTTCAAATCAGGTATGGTTTCTTTTTTTCGATTTTGCTCAAATTTGTATGAAATTCGCATAATGTTCAAGTAGATTTCCAGATTTTTCAGTTTCATTTTTGTGATTTTTGTGGTTTGATTTTTTGCAATTTTTGTGATTTGTTTTTTGCGATTTTTGCGATTTTCTGATTTGATTCTCATGAATTTCGCATGAGTTAAATTTTATTATCACACTACTCTTGATTATCGATTACATTTTTGTGATGTTGTGGTTTGATTTTTTGCGATTTTTGTGATTTGTTTTTTGCGATTTTCTGATTTGGTTCTCATGAATTTCGCATAAATTAAACTTTATTATCACGCTACTCTTGATTATTATTGTTTGATTTTTTTGTCATTTTACCATTTTATGTGAGGTTTTGTTGAGCGATTTTTGAGCCATTTTTTTTTATTGTTGGTGCCGTTGTTGTTGTGCTATTTTTGTGCCATTTTTTGGTTGTTTGTGGTTGTTGTTGGGTGTGATTGGTGGCAGAGGAATGAGAAGGTTGGTGATGTTGGCAGTTGTGGAGGGTTTTGTGTGAGGGAGCAACAGGGGTAGGAAGAGTTCAGTGGTTGTGAGTGAGGGGTGTGATGAGTAGCAGGGGTAGAATTTAGAATCAAGAACACAACATAGAGCCATAATAATTAAAAAAAATAGAAATTCAGAGGAAAAAGTAGGATAAACCCAGAAAATAGAGAAGCTCAGAGTGTCAGTCTCTCTGTATTTCTATGTTTGTGGAAGTGAGAGAAGAAGTAAGGAAATGAAAAGGAGGACATTAGCTTCTTATCTTCATTTTTGAATATTATGATAACTCAATGAATCATTGTTTGAGCCCAATTAGGCAGTCCGTATTGCCTTCATGTACTAATGTTGGAATGTGAAATCATGTTCTAAAGAAGGTTTATTATGTTATTAGTATGTCTATATATTTGATTGCAAAAGTAGTAAATTAGGTGCACAAACAGAGATGAAACGAATTTTATTTTTGTTTGCATATTATTGAAAAAATTAAGTAGCAGCATGGCAATTTTAATACCTCTAGTGGATTGGTGATTAATAATTTTGATTTTTGATTTAATTAGTTTAGGTGTATGTATTTTGGAATGTTGTGTGCTTGCGGTTTTCAATTATGTAATGGAGAGGTTTGTTATGTGTGTTTATGCTTTATATCAAATAACTCTTTAATATGATTCAAGAATCTAAGAAATGATAGATTTCTTCTCTCTTTGGGTGTTAGGTTGAGATTGATATGTATTGGTGATTAGTGGCGTAATAGAAGGATGGGGAAAATTAGATTTTTCGAGTATGGTTCATAATTTTATATAACTAATGCCCTTATGGGATGTGTGGAAGAAAAGGGAAAGATTGATGGTTTTTTAGTGTAAATTATATGGTATGTGTGGAAGAAAAAGGATTGATGTTTTTTTTTAGTGTATATAAATTATTGTTGTCTAATCTTGCCCTTTAGAATATAGGGGAAAAAATTAGAACATAGAAAAAAATTTGAATATAGGTTTAGAACACAAGGTAAAATTTAGAACATAAGTATAAATTTTAAGATATAGGTAAAAAAACATTTAAAACATAGGAAAAAAATTTGTAGATTTGTTTAAAACATAGGGAAAAAATTTGTAAATTGAAATTTTTTTACATTTTGTTAATTCTTGTGTATTTATTTCTTGTTCACAAGTGGGTAGTACGGGAAATTAGGCAGCCCATCTAAATTATAAGGCTCAAATAAGGAAAGAGTATGGTGAGATGATGGTATGAATTAAGTTCCCATAGGTGGTAGTACTGTTATGTATCTTGATTCTTCAAGTGATTAATGAATAATATATTTATTAGCTCAAGTGGTAGAGCACTATGCAAATGTATAGGTTCAAATCCTACATGGGTTGTCTCTAAGAATCAATCAAAGCCTTAATCCCATAAGTGGGGGTTGTCTTTAGAATAACTAAAAAAAAAACTATAAAAAGTAATTTAATATATGCTAAATAAAAGTTTAGAGCATGCTAATATTGTTAAATAATACTTTAGAACATATTGAAATACTTTAGAACATAAAGAGTAAAATTTTAGAACATAGAGAGTAAACATTAGAACATGGAGAGAGAATTTTAGAACAAAGAGAGTAAACTTTAGAACATAGAGAGAAAACTTTAAAACATAGTAAATTACTTTATGTTCTAAATTTGCTTTTTCTTAGAACATAGTGAATTAGTTTAGAACATAATTATGTTCTAAATTTGCTTTTGCTTAGAACATGGTGAATTACTTTAGAACATAGTGAATTACTTATGTTCTAAATTTGCTTAGAACATAGTGAAATACTTTAGAAAATAGTCATGTTCTAAATATGCTTTAAAACATAGTCATGTTCTAAAAAAAATTAGAATATAGTGAAATACTTTAGAACATAGTCATGTTCTAAAAAAATTTAGAACATATAATTTTAGATCATAGGAAGAAAGATTTAGGATAAAAAAATATTTAGAACATAGGAAGAAAAATTTAGAACTTAAGTTTATATTATAGGGAAAAAAAATAAGTGCATAAGTTTAGAGCATAGGAAAAAATTAAGAACATAGGTGGAAAAAGTTTAGCAAATAGGAAAAAAAATCTAGAACATGCAAAAAATTAGAACATGTGTAAAAAAAATTTAGAACATGGGAAAAAAATTTAGAACATGGGAAAAAAAATAAGAACATGGGAAAAAAAAATTAGAACATAAGAAAAAAAAATTAGAACATAGGAAAATAAAATTACAACAAGCATAGGGAAAAAAATTAGAATAAAGGAAAAAGTTTAGAACATAAACAAAAAATATAGAACATAGGAAAAATCTTAAACATATATATAGAATATAAGGGAATTTTTTGTTTTTTTAAATAGGAATATAAACATATGAAAAATTATTTAGAACATAGGTAGAAAAAAATATTTTGAACAGTTTTTAGAAAATTGAAATAGAAGGTTAGAACATAGGGTTGAATTACAATACATTATTTAATCGTTGGGCATGCTAAAACCTATTAGCTCAAGTGATAGAGCACTATGCTAATGCATAGAGATGTAGGTTCGATTCCTACATAGGTTATCTCTAAAATCATAAGAAAAAATTAAATAGCACTAAGTTATTCAAACAAAAAATGCCTATGGAAACTATGTTACAACAAATGCATAGATGATGTAGGTTCGAATCCTACATAGGCTATATTTATAAATAACTATATAAAAAAAATTAGAACATAGGTAGTAAAAATTTAGAACATAGGAAAAAAAAAACATTAGAACATAAGTAGATTGAATTTAGATTATAGGCAAAAGAATTTAGAACATAGGTAGAAAAATTTAGAACATAGGAAAAAAAAACTTTAGAACTTAAGTAGACTAAATTTAAAACATAGGAAAAAAAAATTTAGAACATAGGTAAAAAAATATTTAGAACATAAAAAAAAAAAACTTTAGAACCTAGGTAGTAAAAATTTAGAACATAGGAAAAAAAAAAACTTTAGAACATAAGTAAACTGAATTTAGAACATAGGCAAAAGAATTTAGAACTTAGGGAAAAAAAACTTTAGAACATAGGTAGACTAAATTTAGAACACAGGAAAAAATTAGAACATAGATTGAAAAAATTTAGAACATAGGAAAAAAAAACTTTAGAACATAAGCAGACTACATTTAGAACATAGGAAAACAAATTTAGAACATAGGTAAAAGAATATTTAGAACATAAAAAAAAAAAACTATAGAACATAAGTAGACTAAATTTAGAACATAGGCAGAAGAATTTAGAACATAGGTAAAAGAATATTTAGAACATAGGAAAAAAAACTTTAGAACATAGGTAGAAAAAATTTAGAACATAGGAAAAAATTAGAACACAGGTTGAAAAGATTTTAAACACAGGAAAAAAAACTTTAGAATATAAGTAGACTAAATTTAGAACATAGGAAAAAAAAAATTTAGAACATTGGTAAAAAAAAAACAAATTTTAGAACATAAATAGACTGAATTTAGAACATAGGCAAAAGAATTTAGAACACAGGAAAAAAAACTTTAGAACATAAGTACACTAAATTTAGAACATAGGAAAAAAAAATTAGAACATAAGTAGACTAAATTACATAAATGCCATTACTAAAAGATCATTTTAGATGGTTGGATCAAAACTAATAAACGGTTGAGATTGGTTCTTATATAAGATTGAGTTCTTATATAGAGGAGGGTTCTTACATGAGCCTTCCTCTCTCTCTCTCTCTCTATATATATATATATGTACATATATACATATATATGTACATATATACATATATATGTACATATATACATATATATGTACATATATACATATATATGTACATATATACATATATATGTACATATACATATATATGTACATATACATATATATATACATATACATATATATATACATATACATATATATATACATATACATATATATATACATATACATATATATATACATATATATATATATATATACATATATATATATATATATACATATATATATATATATATATATATATATGGTCGGGATCCAGTGAGACCATCCCCCTATATGAGACCATCTCTTATATGAGCCCAAATCTGGGCCCTTGAACTAAATAGATCTGACGGATGAAAAAGCGCATAGTAATGGAAAAATCAGTAAATACACCACCTAACTGTCATCTCTCTCCACCTAGCTAACTAACTTCTCTCTCCACCACGAAGCTTCATCAATGGCGCCTAATTAGTACCGCTGTTTCTTATTGCTTCAAATTGTTTCATCAATTGCTTCATCAAAGTAATCATAAGGAAGTTCACACCGACCTTGCTCGCCTTGCGCTATATTACTAATCGCATTTGCAATCACTGCTACAAATCAAATTCGCCAGGTTATTGAATTGTATGTTAATTGGATGATAATTTTTGATTTTTTGGTTTGTTCTGTTCTTATTAATTTGCATATTTAATTGCATCAATCACCAGGTTATTGAATTGCATGTTAATTGCATGATAATTTTCGATTTTTGAGGTTTGTTCTGTTCTCATTGAATTGCTTGTTTAATTGCATCAACTATGGATTTGATTGAATTTACTTCTTTGAAATATTTTGAATTAAATAAAAAATTTAGGTTTGATTAATTTGATAGAAATTGGAAATTTGCAATCAAATTTAAAATGAGCAAATGAATTGAAAATGAGCAAACCTAAATATTTGTAATAATATAAAAAACATATAATGAGCAAACATAATTAAATTAAGCAAATATAAAAAGGAGCAAATGAGCAAAATAAGTTGGTAATTATGGTGGTGGTAGGGTGCAGGGGACAGGGGTGGCGGCGAGGGAGTGAGAGTGAGACAGGTTGTGGTGGTGATATTGGTGGTGGTAAGGTACAGGGACAGGGGCAGAGGAAGGAGAGAGAGTTTGGTGGTGGTGGTAATTGTACAGTGTAAGAAAGAGGGTGAGAAATGGGATTCAGCTCATTAACATGAGTTGTAGAAGCAGTGAAAGTGAAAGAGGTAGCTGTAGCTAATGAGCAAATATTTAGTTGCTCATTTATCAAATGAGCAAGTGGTTGTGCTTCTTAGATCGAGCACTTCTGTGTGCTGTGATAATCTGAAATTACTGTGTGTATGTGTGTGTGTGTGTAAGTGAGTGTAAGAGTGCATGTGTTAGAGTGTGTGTGTGTGTCTAAGAATGTATGGTTTTTGTAGGCAAATATGCTATACTGAATGCTATATATGCTAGGTTTTGCAAATCATATTAAAGGGTAGCATTATCAAGTTTTACTCCTTTTCAAATCATCTAGTTTCTGCTATCAAAGCATTGAGTTCCTTGGTTTTCTTGCTTGCACACAAGCCCCACCCCCCTTCTTCTTGGTCTATTTCCTACACACCAACCACACTCCCTTCTTACACTTACTTATACAAACCTATTCCCCCCCCCTCATCTTTCTGTTTGCAATTCTGAATTCTGAATCTGATTTCAGAAATGATGAGCAACAATGAAGAACTTGACAGACATTCTAGTACCATCACAAATGTGGCAACTACTCCTACAATAGTAGTTTCTCCTAAAGTAGCACCTTTGCTCACTCCTGGAGGAACAAAAGAATGGCTTCCAATATGCCCCAATGAGTTGAAACCAGCTATAGGGATGAAGTTTAATAATCTTGAAGAGGGCCTTGTATTTTATAAAAGATACGCATTTTCTGCTGGATTCAACACGAGAAAATATACAACTAAAAGGCAAAGAAGAAGCAAAGAATTGAAATCACAATATATCTTATGCAATAAAGAAGGATACAAAGAGAAAAGAAAGCCTACTGTTGAAAAAGATTTAAATAACAACGAAGGAGAAAGCAATGAAGAAAAAACTTCAATCAAAAGGAAGAGACTCGTTACTCGTGTTGGGTGCAAGGCACATATTATCATAAAGCATTGTGATGATAACAAATTTATAGTGTCACAATTTCATGAGGGACATACTCATCCACTTTATACACCTAGTTGCAATCTCTTCCAAAAAGAAGGAAGAAAAATGAACATATTGCACAAAAAAATAATTGTGAATAATTCTAAGGTACGACTTTCAAAGTCTCTTATGTTTCATGAATTCCCTGTATGTTCTAATAAAAGTAGTATGCTCATTTGAAAAATGAGCATTTAATTGTTTGTTTATTTGAAAAATGAGCATTAAATTGTTTGATCATTTTAAAAATGAGCATTAAATTGTTCAAATGAGCAAGCAAATAATTGAATTGTTTGCTCATTTTAAAAATGAGCATTAAATTATTTGCTCATTTGATAAACTATTTTGTTCTTTAAATAGGTGAATATTGGTCCTGTTACAACTTTTTGAATGATGAAGGAAATTGTTGGAGGATATGATAACATCGGTGCATCTAAGAAAGATTTCAAAAAATTTCATAGAGATTTGAAAGCATACATTCAAGGAAGTGATGCTCAAATGTTCGTGGATAACTTTACCAACAAAAAGTTAATGTGGAGAGCTTTTTTCTTTGATTTTGAGATGGATGATGATTATTGCCTTTGTAGAGCATTATGGGCTGATCCCCTTTGTAAAAAGAGTTACGCTCTATTTGGTGATATGGTATCCTTTGATACCACATACCAAACCAATAGGTAATTCATAAAAATCACAATTCATTTTTATGTTACAACTATAGCTTAAATTAATAACTTTGTTTTAAATGAACTTAGTATAACTATTTGTTTATTTCACAAATGAGCATTGACTTATTTGCTCATTTCAGAAATGTGCATTCAATTATTTGCTCATTTGACAAAAAAGCAAACAATTGTTTGCTTATTTCACAAATTAGCATTGAGTTATAAGCTCATTTGACAAATGAACAATCAATTATTTGCCCATTTTACAAATGAGCATTGAATTATTTCAGTAGCTGATGATAATTCTGATTTCATAATCTGATTTCAGATTCTATCACAGATTGTGAGTGCATGTATGTATGTGTATGTGTGTGTGCGTGTGTGTGTCTGTGTCTAAGTACGTGTGTCTGTGTATTTATGTGTGTGTGTAGTTATTTGATCATTTAAAATTTAATCTGTATGTGTAAACAGGTACAACATGGTGTTTACTCCATTTACAGGCGTTGACCATCATAAGAGCTGCCTTACTTTTGCTGCTGGTTTCATAGCAAAGGAAGATATAGTGTCATTTGAGTGGTTGTTCAGATCATTTCTCAAGGCAATGGGTGGAAATGAACCGAATTGTATGATTACAGATCAAGATCCAGCAATGAAAATTGCTGTTAAAAGTGTGTTTAACAAGACTGAACATCGTTTCTGTATGTGGCACATAATGAAAAAGTTACCAGATAAGGTGGAGAAATCAAGCATACAAGAAGAAACTGGGTTCCTAAAAAAATTATGTGCTTGTGTTTGGCATCTTGAAATTGAACCTGCTGAGTTTGAAGAAAGGTGGAACAAGGTGATGGTTGAATACCACTTGGAAGAACATGAGTGGTTAGGTTATATGTACAACATAAGGAACAAGTGGATTCCGGCGTATTTCAGAGATGTGTTCCTTGGAGGAATAATGCGTACAACATCAAGATCCGAAAGCGAAAACAACTTTTTCTACTCCTTTATCAATCCTCATGTGTCACTTGTTGAGTTTTACTTGAGATATGAAGCTGCAATTGATGCCCAGAGACACACTCAAGGTCAGAATGATAATGATTCAAAGCACAAATATCCTGAGTGCAAAACACCACTAGGGATAGAAAAGCATGCCTCACATTTATATACTAACTCTGTCTTTTATGAATTTCAATATGAGGTTGAAATTGCTTGTTTTTCTTGTGGTGTTGATGAATTGAAGAAAGAAAATGGATTTGAAGTTGCAAAAGTAAGTGAAGGAAATCGGATTAGAACATTTGATGTTGTGTTTAATCCAACTAACTTTGACACCACATGTTCTTGCAAGTTGTTTTATAGACAAGGAATTCCATGTAGACATATGATTTGGGTTTGGAAAGCAAAAAGGTTTGAAACCATTCCTGAGCAGTATATGCTACACAGATGGACTACTATGGCACTGAAAAAACCAATTTTTGACTTGGGTGGAAACCTGTTGGAGCAATGTGCTAATTTAATTGACAAGAAAAAATTGTTAAATGATTTATGGTCAGAGATACACACTTGTGTAAGTTTGGCAGAAGGCAATGATGAAGATATTCAAGATCTTGTGATAAATCTTCAAGGAATAAGAAAGGATTTGGAGGCTAAGAGGATTGCAAGGAATAATGAAACAACAGGAAGTGCAAACAACAAAGCACAAGACATTGAGCTATTGATTGGAGCTAGTGTGCCAACTGAAATAATTGTCAAACCTCCAAAAATTTCAAAGAATAAAGGGACTGGAATTCATGTATCAAATGTAGAGACTTCAAAAGAGAAAGGGGCTGAGATTGATGTGCCAAATGTTAAAACAAGAGGTAGAAGTGCAAAAAGGCTGAAGGAAGAAAAAGAAAAGGCTGTAGAACAAAACCAGAAAAAGAGATTATGTAGAGGTTGTGGTGAATTGAGTCATCATGATATTAGAAATTGTCCAAACAAAGTATAATGATACTTTTATACAAATATAAAAGTTAATATTTTTATATAAATATATGATTTAGCATTTTGTGTTTTAAATTTTGTTGAAATGAGCAAATATTTTGCAAGCTCTGTTATCTATCATACACACATATGTAATTATACCAAAGCTACTGTAATGTCCTTGGTAACAGAAATAGTCCAATCCAAGATATTATACAATGAGTTCAGTAAAGAGAACAACCCAACATACCCTAATCTTCAAAATCATAGAGGCTAAATTAACTAGATATTTGCTGATATTTGTATAATGATACTTTTATACAAATATAAAAGTTAATATTTTTATATAAATATAAGATTTAGCATTTTGTGTTTTTAATTTTGTTGAAATGAGCAAATAGTTAATACTCATTTGTGAAATGAGCAAATAGTTAGTTTCTCATTTGTCAAATGATCAAATATTTATTTGCTCATTTGTCAAATGATCAAATATTTATTTGGTCATTTGGCAAATGAGCAAATAGCTAATACTCATTTGTCAAATGAGAAAATAGTTAATACTCATTTGTCAAATGAGTAAACATTCCTTTTAATAATACATTAAATCAACAACCATTTCTTTGCTCATTTGTGAAATGAGTAAGCATTAGTTTCCTCATTTTTTAAATGAGCAAATAATTAGTTACTCATTTAAAAAATAAGAAAACATTTCTTTTCTCATTTAGCAAATGAGCAAATAGTTAGTTGCTCATTTGTCAAATGATCAAATATTTATTTGGTCATTGGCAAATGAGCAAATAGTTAGTTGCTCATTTGTCAAATGAGCAAATAGTTAGTTGCTTATTTGTCAAATGAGCAAATAGTTATTCAGGAATTTAACAAATGACAAACAACTTAGTCAATAAGATAGAAAATGATATCCATTACATTGACATAGCAAAATTTATACTTAGAAAATCCTAACAACATCATAAAAACATTAGATCAACTAAGAACATTTATCACATTTGTCCTATTAAGAACATCATAAAACTAACACTTCTATTGTTCTGTACAAAAACTATACAAATCCTAAGAACAATTGATCAACTTCAGTCTTCAATTCTCTCCGTTAATTGCTCTTGGATTGCTGCCCCTAGCTTTCTTCAGCATCACTTGCTTCCTCAGCCTTTTTTTTCTTTTGGACAACTTGTTTAACAGTATTTACTTCACTTGAAATAATTGAGAGGGTATACTTCAAACGAAGTTTTTCAATGATTATGTCCTGCAAAGAGAAAAAATGAAGCAATAATTCAGAGTAAGTATAGGGTAAGTAATGGCTTCATGAATGTATATCAACAAGCTACTCACAAATTTTAATCTAAAAAGTGCAGATTTCTCATTCCAGAAGAAGCAAATTATAAAAATTGCAATTAGATTTTTTCTGGTTAGATTTACATTATTTTTATTTAAACCTGAATTCCACTTTTGCAAACCCATATATGTTTCCATATGCCTCATCATTGCAACACCACAATGCAAATGATTGTCATCTGAAGACTTCCAAGGTAAATCAACCACAACAGACTCCATAGACTTGATTTGTTTTGACAAAACAACACTTTGTATACTTCCTTCACCATTCATGAAATATGAAAATGCACTTTTCTGAAAATGAACAAATAAGTTAAAATAAGAACAAAAACAGGTGGAACAAATATAGTTAGAATAAGAAGAACAAGATCAAGATAAACAACTAAACTCAAATCATTTTTCTAAAATAATCTAACAAAATCTTGAGCCATTACTGCCACCTACCCACACAAACCTACCCACACATTACACAATTCTGATTCCGGAAACTAATTTCAGAATCTGATTTCAGATTCTATTACAGGTTGTATGTGTGCTTGTGTGTGTGTGTGTGTGTGTGTATGTGTGCGTGTGTGTATGTGTGTGTGTATGCGTGTGTGTGTATTTGTGTGTGTGTGTGTGTGTGTGTGTGCGACTGTGTATGTGTGTGTGTGTGTTCCTGTATACAATAAAAAACTCTCAACACATTGTTCAAATGCAGAGATGCACATTATGTAGAAAAATAAATCACAGAGTTTTGCAAGTATCCTCTAGAAAAGTTTTACATGTCATATATACATATACATTTGATAATTCACAATATAAGCCATTCCAGGACAACATAAGCCACTTCGCAATATAAGCCACTCCAGGACAAGATATTTCTTCACAGGGAAATAAAATGCAAGTATTCTCATATCTAATGCTAAGACAGGTTTGAGCAGATTATAAGGATGCATAACTAAATGCTTCATGTTTGAGTACAGTCGTCGTACAGATCTGCTGGACCAAAAGGGAGAATCTTAATCAATCAATAGGGCTTCCTACCTTTCACCTTTTTTCACATAAACAACTAATATATCTTCCATCAACTATAAAATTAGCACAAACAAAATAAATAGTCTATGAAGAAACCATATTCGTGCTTCCTAAAAAGTGCAGGTAGGTGCAATAAGTTTCAACAATTGAAAGCAGCAAAGCCAATAATCCATCTGACTTGGAAATTATCCCGAAAGAATCAAGCTGACCATGAATAGATTCAAAGTGAGGTCAGAGACAGAGACTAACATGAAGCTATTTAAGACTTTTCTTGTGTGTGTGTGTGTATGTGTGCGTGTGTGTATGTGTGTGTGTATGCGTTTGTGTGTATGTGTGTGTGTGTGTGTGTGTGTGCCTGTGTATGTGTGTGTGTGTGTCTCTGGCGTGAGTGTGTGTGCCTGTGTATGTGTGTGTGTGAGTCTCTGGCGTGAGTGTGTGTGTGTGTATTTTCTTGTTATGGGAGAAAGGAGAAATTCAGAGGAGAATCCTCTGAAAGGGTTAGGGTACCAGTGATATAATGAGAGGAGACATGAATAAGGAATCTGGTAACAACATGGCAGGCATCAATGAGGATATTAATGATGAAGAAGAAGTGGCAGAAGACATACCAGATTTTTAAGCAATTTCTTATTTTCTCTAGGACCTTCACTGTAATCAATAACCTCAATTGTACCACAGTCTGTGGTGGTGTTAAAACATACCAGATAATAATGATCCTTTTCAAATACTGGGAAAAAGAAAAGCTCAATATCTTTCTTTGGGATGATTGTTTTGCTGAATTCCAACTCCACAACCTCACAAAACATTTTATTCCTTTCTTGAGCACGATCACTTTCGTATTGAAAAAGGCAATCCTAAAAAAATAAATAAAGAAAAATACATAAATAAGATGAATATAAATGAAAAGAGTAAATAACAAATGAGTAAAGTGAATATGAAATGAGAAAAGTCATATACAATGAGTAAATTGAAATTTTTTTTTACAAATGAGCAAGTGAATGTTTTGCTCATTTGACAAATGAGCAAAAAATTAACTGCTCATTTGGCAAATGAGCAAAGAATTAATTGCTGCTATCATTCAATTATTTATGTAATTACAGAACATGCAGAATGTTAGTTGTCAGATAGCATCATAAACATAAAGAATTAAGTCCTTTGGTTTAAGCTTTATTTTATCAGCCTCATTTGTGCTTACACAGATATCTGCCATGAGAATTACAAATGTAATTAGAGGTCATGCTTTAATATATGAAAGTTAGTTCATACTAATGCTAGTTTATGCTTTAATCTTGTTCTTTTAATATTTAAAAAAGAATAAGATTGATTTGATGTATGATAGTTCATGCTTTAATATATAGTGATTGTGGCATATATCATGAGTTCTGAATACAGCAGTTTGCTGGCTTTCCAAAATTCACACAACAAAAATTCATTTGCTAATCTTGATTGAGGAATTCCTAATAGCTCAGTGAACTAGGACTCATTTTCTGAACACTTACAACCTGCTCTCCACATTCATCCAGTGAGGCAGTGTGGTGGATGTACATAGAACATATAGAATTATAGATGCAGCATGTCTGTGAATTCTCACTCGTCACTGATTCAGACCATAATACAGGTCATAAATAAGAGTCCGAATTGTGCAGGACCAAAATTAGACCATAATACAACTCATAAACACTGATTATACATTGATTCAGACCAAGGAAGTCAGAATTTATATTATTATTAGTTTTGTATTTCAAATATTTTATCAAAAGATTTTATGTTATTTAGTATCCAATAAGAGACTTGAATTAGTTCAGTATTTATTTTTTGCTCATTTGACAAATGAGCAAGAATATTTGACAAATGAGCATTGAATAGTTTGCTCATTTGACAAATGAGAAAAGAACTAATAATAGTTTTTGCAAATACAAAACAACATCTACATTCAAATATTAAAAAAATTATATGAAATGAGCAAAGTGAACATGAACAAAATAAAACAAAATAAAATGAACGAGTTGAACTTACAACAACATTAAGACTGAAAAAGAAACGTCCACTAGAATTGACATCTTTATATTTCTCATTAAAATTCAGAACAGTAGACCATGCATTAATGATACCGCCATGAATTTTGCTCTGAGTTTTTAGAATTTCAAGTTGAAATAGCATTACTTCATTATCAGGCTCACCCTCGCATAAAAACCCTGCATCACTACATATAAGATTTAGGGAAGTTAAAATAATTTCAATCGTAGATATGTAAAGTGAGAATATAGAGCTAGACTTGTTATAAGAAAGAAAAATAAAGTCAGTTGCCAAAATTTCCAGAACTGAAAAAATTGAATAAATACTTACAAACGATTTTTCTTCTCATGAAAAAATGAATCCATAACACCTTTCTGAACTGCTGTTAATGGTGTATATATGTTGATAATCCGAGACTTAAAAGGAGATCTTATCTGCAACGATGGTTGCACTTTACGCTTCTTTGGAATACAACTCTCATTTTCAGCGTCTCCTTTTCTCTTAAGCGCAATTGGGTCTTCTTGAGCATTCACAACATCAGCATCATCAACTTATTTAGAAGCACCAACTTGTGCACTGACAGGAGCAACTACAGGTTCATCAGTAGGTGCAATCCCAGGGGACTTCTCTTGAGAATCA